AAAAAAAAAAAAAAAAAAAGAGAAAGAGAAAGAAAGAAATATGAGTGTAAAGTGCTTGTTACACACAGAAATAGTGGATATTTAATAAATGGAATGGAGCTCTATTTGTTCTAAAGGTCTCATCTCAGAACTAAACAATTTTGCACAAGGAAACACAGCCAAGTCAAAGCAGATCTGTAACCAAGACTAAATTCTTCTGACCTTGCACCTAAGTTTCCCTTGCCTTTAGGCTGCTTGGGTGGCACTTGCCTGCCTGTCAATGCAGCTTCCTGTGGGTCAGACTGCTGACTGATTTCTCACTTCAGAACTGTGGCTGTGGCCATGACAGTTTCCCTTAACCTCTAGAACTTGAAACTCCCTCTTTAGGCTTGAATGCCATGGCAAATCCTTCTAGTGGTAGAAAAGAGTATAAGCTAACATTTCTAGAGCATTTCACATCCACCCCCTGGGGTGGGTGACAGTATCAATTCTCAGATGAGAAAATGAAAGCTTTGGTGGCAGAGATGGGAACAGAGGTGCTCCCTGCCATTGGCCTCCTCCTCCCTTTGTCACACAAAAAGCATACTTTTTGTAGCTTAGTGGTACACCCTTGCCTTTCACATGTGAGGCACTGGGTTTAATCTTCAGCATCACCTAAAAATAAATAAATAAATAGACAAACAAACAAATAAATAAATAAATATTGTGTCCATCTACAACAAAAAAATTTTTTAAAAAAAAGCATACTAAGATCTTCACTGTGCATGTGGCAGAGACATGATCTATGCAATTTAAGGCTTCATAATGGAGTTTGACTGCTTTTTGTTTTGTTTTCAGGTCATAAAATCCATGACCACTAACCTGCCTGGACCATCATCTTTGTTTTGCTATTAAAACTATTTCAAAGTGCTGTCACTCACGGCTGATTTTATTCTGTTCAATTGGCTGTCTGCTTCCTCAGATAAGAAATGGACACAAAAACAGCTCTCAGGTCTCATAGTCAATGTTGAAGTGGGGCCTTCAACCCAGGGCCACAAGCCATAGGCTTTCCCCAAACTCCTCTTTTCTGCTGAGCAAGGTAAGTGCAGTCTTTTATATTTGATAGGTCCTAGGGACAAAATACTGGTGGGAGCAACTCTGCAATGACAGGAATCATCCTGGGAGACCCTATGGCTAGGCAACTCAAAAGACTCTGCTACACCCAAGGACTAAGCCTAATACCTTTCTAGGATGTGGGCATAGGAGTCACTCTGTCTCCAAGCCTCTGTTCCTTTACTCCCTCTACTATGTTCCCACTATTTTAGCCTAGTCCAAGACCCTGGCTTCCCCCTATCTGACTGACTACAGTTGCTTTCAGGGGTCTTCTGCATGGTATACCCAGCTCCTCCTTTCACAAGCCCTAGTGGGTAAGAGGGAGCACAGCAGTAGTAAAGAGCTCTCACTGTACTTCCTCCATAATCCAGTTTCATCCAGTTTCCAAACATGACTAATTTTTTCTGATCACCCTCTTTGCCACCCAATTCCAAATGGAACCTATAACTCTTTAACCCTGTTTCAATATCCCTCATTTCCTCCTTTACCCAGCTAAGATTTCAGGAATCATCACTGATCAATTCTTGCATATAGTTGGACTTTTTTCTTTTCCTGTTTATTCTTTCATTTTTACATCTGATTAAACCTGAACTCTGGTTAAATCCAACTCCCATCTGCTCTGTGCTGTAACCGAGCAACTGAGTATGGCTAGGCAAAATACAACAGGGCTGACAGTCTCACTTAATATCCATGTCCACCAACCCCACAGCACTTGTCAGGCCCATCACCTTACTTCCATAAGACTACTTCCCACTCTTCTAAATATTTATTGGATCAGTGATTGATCTCAGTTTCCCACCAGTAGAAAAAGGGGAGAAACTGCACAGATCTCAGAAGGCTTTTGTGAAGACTGACAAACATATCAAAGGCTTAGTATAGAGGTAGACACAGAAAATGCTCAGAGAATGTTACCTTCCCCAAAGCAGGGCTCTACCCCAATTTTTTTCTGATCAAGATCTATTGCAAAATAATTACCTCCAACTTATAGACGAGTAAACAGAGGCTTAACTTTTCTGAAGCCACAAGGCTTGAGAGCTAGCTGGGCTTTGAACCCAGAACTGGCTAAGCCCTTAACTGCTGTGCTGCTTTAGGGTACCAAGCCAATCTGGCTCCAATTTAAGTTGTTAAATTCTTAAGTTCTATTTTTGAGCCAACCCACCCACTCTTGTTGTACCTCCCCATCTTGGGAGACAATACAGAAATGTGCCCTTAGACTGGACTACCATTCCCCACACCTGTCCAAAACTCTCCAGATCTCCTACACAATGCCTGTCTCCTCGGTGAACATCCGCTGATGCTCAGAGATTCCTTCTTTCTCTGAACTCCTTCGGGACCAAGTCTGTCCCAGACTGCTTCATGCTTCATCATAAAGACTGCCACTTCTGCCCCTCCCCCCTCAGTGTCTCATAAAGAGCAGGTAGGAGCTCAATGTATGACCTCACTGAGTCAGTCAGAAGGAAAGCACTGTTTTAGAGACTGGAAACACTGAAGCTTTCCATCGGGGAGCAGAGTAGGGCTTGGGTGGGGCCCATTCCCCATCCAATGTAGCAAACCAGTCCCTCACTGCCCAGCAGGCCAGCGCTCACTTGCTGGCTAAGCTTTGTGGCTGTGACTGGTACTAAGTGTTAGTGATGACAGCATATATGTGTGTCAAGAGATGAAAGGCAGTTTTGCTGATGATCAGCAGTCTATGGAGAGGGATTTTGAAAAAGGCAAAAAGGCTGACAGCAGGGCTGTCCTTGTCCTTTAATTCCTGGAGTTAAAATGGTTGCTTTTTGATATAAACTCAGAGTCTCTGGTCTAAAACTCAATTATAGAGATACTGAAGCTTGCCAGGCCTGATGGTGCACACCTGTAATCCCAGTCTTGGGAAACCAAGGCAGGAAGTTTGCAAAGTTAAGGCCAGCCTTAACAACTTTGCAATACGCTCACTCAAACTAAAAAATAAAATTTAAGCTGGGCGTTGTGATTCATACCTGTAATCCCAGCGGCTCTGGAGGCTGAGACAGGAGGATCACGAGTTCAAAGCCAGCCTCAGCAATGGCAAGGCGCTAAGTAACTCAGTGAGACCTTTTCTCTAAATAAAATTAAAAAAAAAAAAAGAGCTGGGGATGTGGCTCAGTGGTTGAGTGCAATCCCCAGTACTCCTCTGCAAAATAAAACTGCCTATTTAGTCTTGGACTGACAGCACTCTCATTATTGATACTTGTAACCAAGGATTATCATTTCAGAATATGTGATGTAATCCTCTTCATTTTGCCTTTAAAAATCACCCTTACCTCAACCTCTTTGAGAATGCTCCATTTACTAAGGCAGGTATATTCCCATTGCAATGCTACT